TGGAATGACCCCAGAGCTATCAGTCTAAGTAAAGTGCAAAGATATAAGTTGATTAAAAACTGAATCACAATTAAGCTAGCACTGGCTGTGAGCAGTTTCTTGAACTCTGAGTTTCCGTTTTCTCATCAGCCTGGTGAGGGGCAGTTAGGCCTTCCGCCCGAGGGACTCCTGAGCCCTCAAGGACCTCAGGCCTCAGGCACATGCCTTCTCTCCTCAGGCGTGGGCTCTGCCCCTCATGTTCACATGAGGGGCCCCGAGGATGGCGGGATCCGAGTTCTGTGCTCCTCGGGTGGCTGGTTCCCCAAACCCAGGGTGCAGTGGAGCGGCATGGCGGGAATGAAGCTGCCATCCCTCTCTGAGTCTCAGACCCAGGATGGAGATGGGCTGTTCCATGTGGAGGCATCTCTTGTGGTCACAGATAGCTCTACGGGCAACGTGACCTGCTCCATCCAGAACACCCTCTCCGGCCAGGAGAGAGTGTCGGCCGTCTTCCTCCCAGGTCAGTAAGGCACAAACCCCAAGGCAGAGCTGGGCTGTGTGAAGGGCACGGAGGGCCGACAGGCCCTTGGAGAGGGGGCAGTCTCTCACCGTGTCTCCACATGCCTGCGTCAGAGGCCTTCTTCCCCAGGACGTCTCCATGGAAGGCAGCTCTGGCTGGGACCCTCCCTGTGCTGGGGCTTCTCCTCATTGGGATCAGCTACGCCGGCTGGAGAGAACATAAAGCCAAAGAAAGAGAAGTAATGGAAAGGGAGAAAGAATCTCATGAAAAGGATAAGATGAGGAGAGAAAAGGAACAGGTGCTTGAAGTCAAAGGTAAATCAGGGCAGCAGGTCAAATCAGAGGTTTATGGAAAACTTGCAGATACAGGCTGCGTAGGGTGGTTGGGGAAATAAAAGATTGCCAAAGAACCTCACGCAGAACACAGGGTACCAAGAATTCCACTGAGCTGGAAGTCTTACGAAAAGGAGAAAACCATGCGGGGAGTTAGGAGAGCTGTGGGCAGGGGTCATGAAGCCCCCGGTCTGCCCCAGGCCTGTTCATGCCTCTGTGCCCCAGCCTCGGCTGCTGTTTCTTTTTGTGGAAATGTCTTCCCTTATCTTCTCTTCCCCTTTGTGCTTCAAGAATAAGCTTCAGAAACACCTTAGAAATTTTAAATTCCCATGAAGCCTGGGCATTCCTTCCTGTGTGGCCCCACGAAACTTTCCATGTAACTTTTCTTAGCACTTGGTGTTTTGCATTTGACATACATGTTTGCTGATGTTTCTCATCCACTGAACAATGGGACCCATAAGAGATGGCCAAATAGAATTAATTCAGCTACTCACCAAACTCAAGAGCAGCTAAAACCCAATTTGATGGATTTTATTTCTCTTCCTCTTTCAGAAAACCTCAAGGCAGACCTTGGTAAGTCTTGTTTCTTCTCATGTCCTGTGTAGAATTTGTTCTGCTTTTCACACCTGTTCCGGATCTCTCACTGAACATTGTTTCTTTCAGAAAGACGAAAGGCATTATACCGAGAAGGTAAGGGACTCTCATGCTAACTGATGTCCTGATGCCCAACAATTTCTCAGCTCCCTATCCTTTGAGGAAAAGAAAGACTAAGAGATTTAATGATGATTAGCAGAAGAGAGACAAGGGAAAGGAAGAGAAATATGAGACCCCAGATTAATGTCTCATCTTATTTTACCTGTATTTTTTCTGTTTTAGATTGGAAAAAGGCCTTGCTATATCCTGGTACGTAACCATCTGGCCCTGATCTCTCCAAGTGCCCCTGGTAGTCTGAGCGTCATAAGCAGAATCATAAACACACACACACACACACACACACACACACGCACATACACTTGTGAAAGTTGTGACAATTTATTTGATATCACTCTGTAGTATTTTGTATTTGGAGGCTCAAATAATCAGTTGTTTTCCAGAGCTAATGATAAAGGAGAAGTAACTGGTGACAGGTAAATTCTACAACACAGCTAGGGTAGGACTCAACATGAATTGTTAGCCCAGCCACTATGGAGAAGGAAGACACAGAACACAGAGTGATTTTGATAAGATTTGGGAGACTAAAGAATACTCTATATTATGTCAGCATTTCTATTCTACAAATAAAGTTTAAAACACAGAAAATGTATTTATATTTAATACTTGGAAAAATACTTTAACTGTAAGTTTACTCATTTTACCTATTTGAAATAAAGTAAAATTCAATGTACAGGGACAAAGGTTTATGTCTGAAAAAGTTGAAAAACAGTCTTCCAAGATATTTTAATATCATTTGCAAAAATGTGTTTATCTGGTGGTAGGAGGAGTTGCTTATTTTTTATACCTTCTAAAATCTGTGTCTATGTATTGTGTGGCTTTCTAACTCTGGGTGTGCATGCGTGTGTAATATAGAATTAGACCTCAGAAACATACTAGGTCATTCCTTGACTGTATACGTGTGCAATTTTTATATGCTAGACATTGTGCTAGATGTTGGTATAAGCTATTATCTCTGACCCTATGGAACTTAAAGTCCATTGAGGGAAGTAAGCTAGGAGCCAGTAAACTACACACAGCCTGTTAAGTGCTTAGATAAGAGGAGGTCAGAGGAACTCCTCCCAAGGATTAAAGCTGATTAAGCAGTTTCTATTAAGCATTTTCTTTATAAGATGCTGAAAAAAGTTCCTATATTTCTAAAGGAGCGAGCAAAGTGTAAAGGAAGGCCTTTGGGTTTTAGTTCCAACTCTACCAATTACAGATGAGCAATTGGGCTATTTTCTCTTTCTTGGCCTCAGTGTCCTTAACTCTAAGATGAAGAGACTGGGTTACATGATCTCATATGTCCTGCTTGACTCGCATATTCACAGATTCTCTGCATCAGAGTGCTAACACTTCTCACAGGAGGCCGGTTTGGTGAGGGGCCACAGAGCTGCGCCAATCAAGAGTTATGGATATGTCCTTACCTGCCTATTGTCCTAAGACTCTAATGAGAGTATTCAATCTTTAAATAAAATCACAAGCCCTGTAATTCTACCACAGCTGCAGCAGAAACAGATGCAATTCTATTTCCCATGAGGAATCTGTCTCTGGAGAAAAACATAAACAATCTGATTACAATTGAGGTCAAAATAATGAGTCAGTTTAAATGCCTTGGTCATAAACTTATGCTTTACTCTGTGAACGTCATAAGCTGGAAAAAACATAAATGAAATGAAATGAAATGAAATGAAAAAC